GGATCACCAATTCTGTGGTGGTCGGTGTTCGATATATTCCTTAAACTCCGTATACATTTCGTCTCAGTAACCGTCACCAAATAATGCTCCAACGGTATGTTAATCAGAAGGCGAATACGAAGTGTTAATTACGTTTATTAAGGGACCACACACAGATATCCAAAATTACAGATGCGTTAAGCAAGCATTAAATAGTTGTGCCGAAAGGCAAACAGGCAAGCGATCGAGCGAGAGAGAGAGCAAGGGCAAGAGCGAGCGAGCGATCGATCGAGCGAGTGAATGAACGAGCGAGCGAGTCATGAATATGAATAACATGGACATATATATACATAGTGAAATGAATGAATCATCGAGTCAATTAAGCGGTTAATAGTAAAGCTAGTAGCGTGAATAAATGCGTAGGCAGTAAGGCTTGCCGAGCATACATATTCATACAAGGATAACAATAATAAAGGTACATACATTCGCAACAGTAATAAGGATACAATAAGTTATTATAGTGCAGGTGACTTTGTCCGTTTAATAAGTTAATAAAAGGGCTTAACCGAATAGATGAGAGCAAACTCAATTGAACGTGAGTTGCTATAATAGCTCCTCCCAGCAAACAAAGATACAAAAGTGTCTGTGTTTGCGAAAAAAAATGTCAAATTTAAGAAGATGGGAAATATCGAAATTTACGAAATTAAGATATATGATAGAACTATCGTATATGTTATTAAAAATATGTGTAAGTTTGAGTTGGTATATGTCGTGAGGCCAAATAAGATCATAACGGAAGATCGGAAGAATACATAAAATATGTTGAATATAATAATTGATGAGCTAAAATTTTCGATTTGTACATAGAAAATGAAGATGAAATTTACATTAGAAGAGGTGAAAGAAATTATTAATTCAAAATCGTAGCTATGTATCGTTGCGGCCATCTCACTCTTCGGCCATATCTCGTCGTTACTGGATTTTCTTCGTTTGTGTTGGTCGATGTCGTTGATGATTGGGACTCGCGTTTCGGTGGTTCGACAGTTTTCGCAGTACCTGTATATATTGGCTGATCGTCGGTTTCGATGAAAGCTGGTTTGACTCTGTCGATGCTAATTACATCCGTTTTTCCAGCTTTTTCTATCGTAATAGTTTTATCGTTTCTTTTAATCACCTTGAATGGACCATCGTAGGCCGGTTGTAAGGGACGCTGCACATTATCCCTTCTGATAAACACATGGGTACTATCGGTCAGTCGTTTTGGCATGTATACACGATGTTGCTGTTGCCTCGGAAGCGTTATCCTCAGATCACCCATATGTTGCTTTAGACGTTGTACATAGTTGGCTATATGCAACGGGGATGCCCAAGGACTATTAGACGGTCTTACGATACCAAGCTTCATCAATTTTTCGAACTCTCGTTTCGCAATCTTCAACCTATTTGGGTCTAGCCTCCGTGGTCTTGCGTTGGTCGGTGGACCTTTCGTTATAATATGGTGCTGTACAGTGTGTTTAAGATCTCTGTTATCGTATGATGCTCTCGTCAAATCAGTGAACTCATTTAGAAGCGCTCTATATGGCTCGCTTTTGTCTTTTGAGACTACTAAATTCATGGATACGTAATCGGTTGTCACTCCTTTTATCACTACTGAATGGTCTCCGTTCACGAGCCGGTTTCGTCGAGTATCCACTAGTAAGTCGAAATTCTTTAAGAAATCAATACCAATTATAGGTACGGATACATCCGCGATGACGAATTCCCAGCGGAATGAAGTGCTACGACCAAAATTCAAGGTTACTTTACGCTTGCCATATGTTTTTATATCGGATTTATTTGCTGCCTTAAGCGTTAGCGCTGTATTGATATTTCGCGTTTCGTTACTCACTGGAGGCACAACGCTTACTTCTGCTCCAGTGTCCACTAAGAACTGAGCACCTGTTACTCTATCCTGTACGTAAAACAAACGACTGTTTCTAGGAGCTGTTCTAGTTGTCGCGGCGTTTACCGACAATCGGTGTGATCGTTTGAATTTACACGGTGGTCGGCAGTTTCGAGCTTTGTCGCCAAAAGTTTGATGGTACCAACATATTGTAGGAGCTGAGCGTCTCCTAGAACGTGATCGACTTCTATCTCTCGACCTACTTCGCGACCATTTTCTTTGTATATCGCTCTGATTTAGTTTCGTCAGCTTGTGGCATAAAAGGTTAATCTCCTTTTGTAATGCGTCGATTCGTTCATCTACTGTGGTATTATGTCTTTGCGGACTCGTTTGTTTCATTCTCTCGTAAATCCTATCGGCTATATTAGCAATGTTGTCTATGTCAACATCGCTGTCCTCAATCGCGAGGATCTGCTGAACGTTCGGTGGGAGTCGTCGTAGCCATAACTGATAAAATATGTTTTTATCTATTTTTCTGTCTCCAATTATGCTTCTCATATAATTTTTTAGCTGCGACGGAGTCCTATCTCCAATCTGCACTTGACTGAGAAGCTGCTCGACGGCTTGTCGGTCACTTAATGAGACGGCTTTAATCACAGCCTGTTTAAGTGCGTCGTATGGCTTTTCGATGTCTGGCTTAGTTAAAAACTCTCGTACATTGTCGGCTACTTCATCCGGAAGTAGTGAGCTTGCATGGCCGAATTTATCTCGTTGTAAATGAACACGATTAGCAACAAAGTAATGTTCGAGTCTAATAAACCAGAGTTCAGGATCTGTGATCTTAAAAGGAGAAATAGTTACATTCATGGACCTCACGGACGAAATTTGTGGAAGGTCTATTGTGTCGTTATTTAAAGACATGATTATCAAAATCAAAAATTATACGTATATAATGTAAATGCCACGGAGAGAAGTAAATCGTTAAAAACAATGATAATACAAAATGGTACAATTAATTACAAGGAACGGACTTACTAAATTGCACCAAAATATCAATTGTTTGGAAAATATCGTTGTTTATTATGAATATTATCGTTATGTTCAATAATGTTTGTGTGATAATGTACGTATAATTAAAATGTTGACATAATAAATCCACAGTAATGATTATAATCCAAATGCTAGCTCGAATTGAAATAAAGTGCGTTGGATTCTCGGAGTTGGATTACGTCGTCGAAGATTGATTCTTGCTCGCACGTTGGGATCACCAATTCTGTGGTGGTCGGTGTTCGATATATTCCTTAAACTCCGTATACATTTCGTCTCAGTAACCGTCACCAAATAATGCTCCAACGGTATGTTAATCAGAAGGCGAATACGAAGTGTTAATTACGTTTATTAAGGGACCACACACAGATATCCAAAATTACAGATGCGTTAAGCAAGCATTAAATAGTTGTGCCGAAAGGCAAACAGGCAAGCGATCGAGCGAGAGAGAGAGCAAGGGCAAGAGCGAGCGATCGAGCGAGAGAGAGAGCAAGGGCAAGAGCGAGCGAGCGATCGATCGAGCGAGTGAATGAACGAGCGAGCGAGTCATGAATATGAATAACATGGACATATATATACATAGTGAAATGAATGAATCATCGAGTCAATTAAGCGGTTAATAGTAAAGCTAGTAGCGTGAATAAATGCGTAGGCAGTAAGGCTTGCCGAGCATACATATTCATACAAGGATAACAATAATAAAGGTACATACATTCGCAACAGTAATAAGGATACAATAAGTTATTATAGTGCAGGTGACTTTGTCCGTTTAATAAGTTAATAAAAGGGCTTAACCGAATAGATGAGAGCAAACTCAATTGAACGTGAGTTGCTATAAATCCTTTATACAAGCAACCTGAGCAATAATCCTAGATAATTTTGTTTACTAAAATTCACAAGTCTTGGTCATGATCATTACACTGTCCTTTAAAAATATCACAAGACGCACAGAGGTTTTTGTATTTTTTCATTTAATTTTTTTTAACCCATTTTAAAAAATTTTTCATCTCATTTTTAAATTTTTTAAAATTGCGTTTCGTCCAATTAAATGGCTGGTTTTAAATTCGTTATAATTGGTTATTTCTTAAAATTGATATAAAATGAAAGTATCTGTCTACTTAGCACCATATTCTTGAATACATTATATCTTGCTGTGATCCGAAATTATACAACTATTCTTCCGTCTGATGTTCACTCGAAATGTAAAAAAATAAATAAAAATTTTTATACGTGACAGTCTTTTATAGTTTCCAAAGTTATGCTTCATTTATTGAAGCACCAAACGGGACTTTCTTCCGATATGTGAGAGATCATTTGTTAGTTAAGAAGAAAAAGTGGTCAAATGTTTTTAGATCCTCTGCGAATCTCCTTGAACAATGCAATACATTTTTTTCTATTTAAACGGATTGTCATGTCGTCATGTTTCCGCTTACTGTACACACACCAAAGCTACCTCACCAGCATTGCGATTGACAATTACTTCCCTGTTCAAGTAGGCCAACCAAGCGTAAAAAAGCGTTGTGTTCCTTAGTAAGACGTATGTCTGAAGATCAATGTAGTGTTGTTTATAACTCTGCACATCAAGTGGTTTACGTAGATGAAATTTTTTCCATAAACTCAGAAGGATTCAATGACCGAAACAGTGACAGTGCAATGTTTCATTTGTTTTGTACTTATGACCCACTACCACAATTCCATAGATTCCACTGTCCAATGAGCAGCGCCATTGTGCTGGTGATTTATAATAATTTATAACGCCCTAACGAAATCAATGTTCAGATCCTGTCTAAATAGGTCTAAAAAGACCGAATCACCATTCAACTAACTACATGTGCTAAGCAATTTAGATAGTCTTTTGCGCAAAAAATATTCAACTAATACCGCATGACTAATCAGATAACCGATGATTAATTATGAGTTGGAAATGGTTGCAAAAAGCTAATGGCCATTTAATACTACTTACTGTGAACAATTAAGACATGAGATGCACTAGATTATTTTAAAAAGTGCACTCTAAAGCATTTCTACCAAATCGTTAACAAAAATACAAAAGTTTCACTCATTTGAAACAATGCGTTATTTGCAGAATTACCTTGGTCCATACACGCTAATGCTTCATTCATTCGTGACGTTGAATAATTAGTCCATTCTAAAATATCTTCTAGATGATAAACTCTTACTTGTTTTGCACGGTACGGTACTTTAAATCAATTAGAATGAAAAAAATAAGATTACAGTCCGAATCATTTAACGATTTGAAAGAAATCTAAAACCTGACATTGCTGGACCCGAACTTATGAAAAAAGAAGCTAAGATATGCACATATATTTCCCAGACTTCTAAATTAGATTAATGAACTACTGTTACTCCGCTTAAATTATGGCAAGCTGACAATCATTGTCATTGCTATAACTAGGAACTATTGACACTTAACACATAATCAAAACAAAGGGTTTCAGATAAAATCTAGAAACTTGATATAAATGAATCAGTCATTGACATCAACAGTACCATGGATCTGATGTACTAGCAGTGGACCAAAAAAGTGACAACAGTTAGACTGAGTAAAATACAATTCATTCAATTAGCAACTTAGCTAACTGTATCCTCTAATCACAGGAAATGTCATCACGATAAACTGCTTATAAATGATTTCCAATAGCTTATTTCTTTTTAAGATAATGTTAATCATGAAATTTTAGAAATCGACAATTGAATATATTCGTATATTTAAATTTTGTCTTAGAAATTTTAAATTTTTGAAAGTCAGGCACTACTGTAGTTTCTTGGACAGTAACGGGAACATTTAGAACTACACCTTCAAATAAATTATCCTCCTTTTGCCGGTAACATCAATCTGTTACCGATGACTATGGAAATCATAAATCTGTTAGAGAGAATATTGAGTCAACTAATTTTTAGGACATGACACCGATTTTATGAAGCTATCACAGGTTAAGAATTGCTATTAGATCTTGCAAATAAGAAGTCCTGTTTTGTTGTACATAGAATATACCATAACTATTAACAAAGTATAAAACACATTCACACTACGAAACGTTTAAACACAAACTTTGTTGTTATTCTTAGGTACATAAAATTTCTGACTTACTGAAGATATGCATTGGTTTTATAAGAGTTTGAAGAGTATTTGACTGTCTTCTGTATGTACTTGACAGATTTACATACAGTTATAAATTACGTGTTATTTTCACTAGACACTAGAATCACAGCATAGTAATAAGTTCACCGGGTCTAAGTTCTGTCTTGGAGGTTGTTTGATTTATAGACGATAATATTGGTGATAGTCTTAAGTATAATATGTATTTCTACCGATATTCATTCGAAAATTGTCATTAAATAGCAACTACTTAAATGTCATAATATTATATAGAAATTAGATCCATTCACAAAAACTTACTACTAATTATTGGAGCTCCATTATAGTACTTACTAAAACCCTGTAATGATTTATAGACTACATTTTCAGATGATATATTATTCTGTATTTTTACGATCGGTGGTCTATCCTTCGCTATAAAAGCAGGAGAAGGAATATCATATATTGAATGTGATGAAACTGAACTGATTTTGTCGAAACCATTATTAATTAAATTGAACTTTTGTCGTGCATGACCTTTAAAATTTATAGATGAAATCTCAAATTTGTATTGTGCGGCAGTATTCTGAATCTACACGTTAAATAAAAAGAATTGAATGGCAGTAGATGAATATTCGTTCATTATTCCAAATCTTATTTTATTTAGTTATAGCACGTTGTTCTATTGTAATTGAATATATGTCGATGGGTTATTATTTCATAAAAACTATTTACACGACCAAAATCAATTAACAATCAGTTAAAGAGGAGATCTACTATCTACCATGATAAACTTAACATACTGACACCGAATAAGTTTATTTAAAAGTCTTATAAAGTTTATACTATGATACAAATGATACTTCAGGAATTTTAAATGATAACTAATTATGAAAATGAGCATGTGTTTATTGATCTTGTGAACTAAATGTACATGGAATCAATATTATAAAAGGAAACTAAGCAATTCAGTATGTCAGAATAAAAGGTTCTTGTTTGATAAACTAGTACTAATCTGTTATTCATCTCATCGGGGTACTTTGCAATCTAACCTTACCTACAAACATCTTTTATTCTTCTCTAATGTTTTAGCTGTTCTATTAAAATGAGATAAAATTCAACTAAGGGATACTTCTTACTTTGATATGGCTTAATTTCCATAGTTACATCTAAATACCACGTTGTTTCGGTGACGAAATATCTCGATTTATAAATTATTATGAGTATAGGAAAGTTTTGAAAAAAGCTAAACTAGTGGAATCGGTTGAGTGATAAAGGCGATTAGTAAACGGATTTGAGCTTAATAACCTGTTTGACACAATCTGTTCATTTTATTTTTAATTATAAACCTATTTTCGCGACATAAAAATCTGTGGTGATTTGGGCAGACTCGTGTATTTAACAAACCAACACCTTTTCAGGTTTATTATTATACTTATATATCAATATATTTATTAAAGTATATTTGTATGGAGACTATGTTTATATACAAGGCGATTTTCATTTCAACCATCTGAGGAGTGACAACTGTCTTATCTTATTTCTAAATCCAGCTGCGTAAACTCACGACCTCACTCTGTCCTTAAGGTTTAACTATTAGACAACAGTATAACTCACAAGACCCGTCCAAGAAATATCCATTAGAAACGGAAGTTTTTGATATTTTTGAGTGTGGAATGTGTTTTTGAATATTATCTAAACAAATGGTGTGAAATCCAATTGGCATATGGGATACAATGTTTTCAGTCGGTAATACAAGTAGGTAAACATAAAATAAAAATATGGTCAAAATATGGTTTCAGAAACAACGTAGATTGTTATTATAAATAGTAGGTTAGTAATGAGTCCGATGAAATTTCAGCGGTAAGGTATTATAACGACAAAACACTTGTAGTCACTTGTTGTGACTGTGACCTGTTACGTGCTATAAATGTACAACTGGATACACGAAAGATGATTTTCTTATTATATCTCAACAAAAACAGAAGTGAATCAGGAGCTACAAACAAATTACACTGCACTACATATCATTTTCTTATATGGTCACTGATAGTAAACGATCAACAGATTTATGAATGTATAAAATTCACAGCATCATAAGAATAGACTGGTTTGACTATTAGATCCATCCTAACAAAATGGCTACGACATTTTGAGCCGTCATAAATTCACTATCGTTCCTCAATGAATTCGTCATTTACGATTTATTAGTCAGAAAAGTCTATCTTATTATCGTGTCGGTACCTGGCAGTCAGTTAACAAATGACAAATTTAATGTATAAAAACAAAAGTGTGCAATGAAACAACAAATCTATCTGGACGTATTTTGGTATTTTAGATTCTCATTTAACCGCAGAATAATAAAAGGACTGCATAAAAGTAGAAAAGAGGCAAAGTTTACACTTACTTCACAGTAGGTTATCGGAACAGAGTTTGGAGTGTTTATTAAATTCATTGGATTTCTTATCTCACTAAGTATGTTTTTGTAACAAAATTCGTGCGTAGATATACGAGAATTAACAATAAGAATTACTTTTAAATGTTGATACTGAGCCAAAAGAGAAGGTATAATTGCCAATAAAATCCCATAGCCTACATCTGGATTATCAGCACGCCATGATTTATCTGTTTCACCATTACTGTCTGTAGACATCATTAGTTTAGCTTCAGTGTTTTGCATTTTTGTTAAATGTAAGTTTTCCGGTATTTCATTATCTTCTATTTCATCTACTATGATATGTGTGGTACCAGCCATAATTCTTGAATCTGCACATATTGTTCTCAGTAGCACTCCATGTGTACAAAACGTCAACAAAGTTTTAGGAGAAACCCTATATATATCGTTAGTAAAAATATAGATTACAATCATATGATTTTTATATAGGTTCCCATTTCAAAGTTTTATCAGGTCCGAATTATTATAAAACGATGACGTCATGCATCTCACATTAGTCAGTTTCATGTTTACTGAAAGTATTAAGCATGATATCATGCTAATATTCACTGCTACACCTGTCATCTTATCATCAATTTATACTTTCTACCTAACATGATTAGTTGTGTAATTATTTTTCATTGTTACCATTGTCTGTTCAATAGTAACGAAGAAACTCTAAAAATTGGGCAGACAAAATCACGTTCAGCTACTTAACAGCTATTGAGTTGTAACCGATGCTTAATGGTTAAGTTTATTTTTCACCGAAAGACTAACTGGTTTTTAAAATGACTTTAATTTAAAGGTTGTTAGTGAATTTTATATCAAAGTGGAAATTTATTTTAGCATTTAACTTTAAGATACTGTAAACCTGCATTTACTGATTTGTTTTATATGACAAACAACAATACTTGATTCACATATTACAATTTGAAATGATGTACTCTGCCTTAAATCTGACTAATTTTATGGATGATTAATTTGGATATGAGATAATTGTAGGACCTGATGAGAAATCATTAAGAAGAATATTCTTCGTTCATATTAATTGTGTTCTAATATAATGGGAATTTTTCAGCGATTAAAATCTTGATATTCTTTTTCTATTAAACAATTTTTTAATCAGTCATTTGGTATAGTTATTTTTTTAAATACATTCATCTTTCCAAAAATAAAGTTTGTTGTACCATGTAAAAAATTCCTGAGTTGTATGGAATGTAAATGATCTGTCTCGTCAGTAATTAAATTTAAATATATTTAGATATTCAACTTTGTGTTATTATGAAAATAAATGGAACAAGCCGTAAATCATTGGCAAATATTATTGGCTTGTATAGTAAAACCATTTTTTATGAAATTCGTTAATCATTCCTTATGATGAACACATTTAATTGACTGTTTTTCAGTAGCTTAGAACAATAGTGAAATAATTACTACTTTGAATAAAAAATAAAATGATGTAATGGTTGATAAACCTACTTGGATTCCAGTCGAATTTGATACCCGACTGTTTGACCAGTTGTTTCTCCTCGTATTTCTGCTAAACGATCAGCATTCATATGGGCATACAGACGGTATGGTTGGGAGCATATTATACGACAACGATGACCTTGCATGTAGCACTCATCTACTAAAATCTAAAAAGTAAAGTTGTCAAGACATTGCAAAGAATTTATTCCTCGATGATCTTATCACCATTTTATTAAATCTTTTTGTCGATGATAGATGGTACAAAATAAAACCAACCACTCATTTTTAGTAAAATAAATCCTCCAGTGGTATTTGCACACAAACGTTTGCCCATCAGTTGACGATATAGTTGTATGCATTGTGATATGATAAATCATTTTTTTGGAATAATATACACTTTCTCACTCTTTTAGACGAAAAACTGCCATGACCCGAAAATCGTTAAACCTAAGTAACCTGGTAACAAAATTTTACAATTAATGCCACATAAAATAGGACGTATTCTCGAAGAAAGCATGAGTTTTCAGAAATCTTTAGATATATTTAATTTATTTGTATAAGAAACAAGAAAGCTAAATCGCCGTCACTAGTTGTAGCACAATAAAATTCATTTCAATAATCATTCGTTCTGATCAACGGCACATTATCAGCCAGCCGATAAAGTTCATTTGAGATAAAGAATGACATTCTATGACAATTTCTAATGACATTTTAATGTATTATTTCGCATCAGTTTGAAAAATATAGAGACAAATTATCTCCATTAATCTGGAATAGTACATTTTGTCAATCAATTAAATGCAATTACTATATTAACCAAATAAACTCAGCTTACAACTATATTTGGAATCGCTTCACTAAGACTTAAATATCTACTCGAAAGAAAATTATCAAATACCTGAGGCAAATAAGTAGTTTTTCCAATTCCAGGAGGTCCTGATATTATTGTTATTGGGTTGGAGTTTATGGAATGGATAATTTGTTCACGGCAATCATCAATTACGTTTTCTTCTGAAGTATATTTTTCTTTAGTCCAGTGTAAACTCTTCTGCATAGACGATGGTGGCGGAATTTGAGGCACTGTTCCCATAAGTCGTCCCGTGGTACCCTTATATCGTTCTTTTCTAATCTCTGAAATATTATTACAGAAGAGATATTGAACTGATTAGTGAACATTGCTCCTAAAGAATCTTAAGAATTGAACAACTAAATGCTAAAGAGTAGCGAATTCGAAATTGATATGGATTCGATTTTTGACAGAAGTATATATCTTTAACCATTTTTATAAACACCTTAGTGTTTCCAATATAAACTAGGCTAATTCGCCGTAGGCATAAATACACTGAATATAACCCTTTTATTGCTTTAAATGATTAATAATCTATAATGAAATATGACATAAACTGTTGTATTTGAACCTTTGGTAGCCCTAAAAAATGAACTGTCTAAAGTATCCTACGGAAGATTTTCACTAAAGAAAGAAAAAGCTAAATATTCACCTACTTATATCAACCCGTGAAATTCCATCAACTGGAGGATAAAGTTCGAATTTTTCTTTTGGTGTCACAGGATTATTTTCCAAAAGCTGAATTATCGAACTCTTGCTACTCCATGTTAATAAGAACTTTGTTTCAAAAGATGTAAATGCGGAGGAAATTGGTGAACATATTTCATCTTTAATCAAGGTTTTTGTGTTACTGAAATTAAAAGCGAACGGGGATAGCTGTATAATTTATTTATAAAAATCATAGAAAAGGTTTTAGTTTGAAATATTATGCGATTGTGGCTCATGTAAATTCAGGTCCAAACGTAAAACAAAAAAACGTTTTTCACAGTTTATTGTGAAGTATTCTACAAATACACTTAAATCTAAATACACTGAACCAAATATCGTGGATTATTTTAATAAACTAAAGTAAATTTAAACACTAGTGTTTTGATAGTAAATTTAAGGCATCACTGTCACATAATATTTACTTACTGTATTGAAAACTGTTACTTTTGGTGGGAATGTCATCAAATTTAGGAAAAGACAAAATAAGAACACTTCACAATAAGACACCGGTTACAAGACTAAAAAAGTGACGCTTGTACTGGGGAATTTGGTGTGAACATGAAGAATCCGAACAAAATGGAACTTTACTGCATAGTTTCTAAGTATTTTTTACGTACTTCTATTTTGTGACGAAAATTAATTTCAAAACATGGTTATAACAAAACTTACACCAAATACTGTAAAATTATCAAATATTTGTTGGATACCCTTGAAAATAATTATCAGCTTGTTATAATACTAAAATTGAATATTAAGACTAAGACAATACCAAATAATTGTTAATACATTATGACAATTTGTATCTTGGAATGTATATCTTTCTTAGTATGAACAGTGATTTGCAATAAGTGAAGTATCAAGTCACTTATTTGATAACTTAGCTAGTAGTTTTTAATGAGTGGATCAAATGTGTTTAACACACTAATACTCATTATTATAAGTAAATTACAAGTTACTGGGAGTGGTATATTTTCAATCTGTAAAATTATGGTCAGGATATACGAATAAATTTTAACTTATACTTTTTTATCAGTGTATCCAATATTATGCATGCTTCGCCACCAGAACCCTTTAAAAAAATTCCAGGACCTGTATTCTTGATATGAAGACACGCAAAATTGAAGCTAAAAGAAGTTTGACTTGATGTCGTTGAACGCTTGATTAAATGGAGATGCCTCACTCGCCTTCTTCACTGCATGTCGCTTCCTCTTTCTTTCGCTTCCTTCTCTGATTTTCCATGATTTTCTGCTTAGACTAACGGTTGTGTGAAAGATACATAGTCGAAATCCATTTTCGTATTTGACTCATTTGATCCTGTTATTCATAAGCGCGTGGTAAGTCCATGACTATATACGAGAATTGGTGGCACGTATGTTTCGATACCAATCAGTAAGCAACCTATCTAAAGTCACATACCGAGCCACTACAAAAGAAGATACACATGAGTCACTAAAAAGATGACATAACCAACATATTGGTCAGATACGACTTCAAGAATCAGGTGAGTATGTTCCAATTTTTAATACTAATTAGTACATTCTAGATCACACAGTCTACATCCAATACACAGTCGGACATACACACGATGAACCTAAAGAGAATAAACACAATCGATCACAGAAATCTAGATTCCCATTTAGGCTGTGGCGGTTGTAAGTTCTGTATGAACAAATGATTCCTTTGTACTTGATTCCGCTGATTGTTAATTTCAAAGAAAATACTCATCTAGCTCTGCATGCTGTAAAGTGTACTATTTCAGAAATTCTTAGTTAACACACTAATTAAAACACTTCTAATCGTCACGCTTATTCAAATGCAAACCATGTGCTAAGTTAAAATTTTGCGGAAACCGTTATGATGACTATTGAATTTAAAACGCATATGTGATGATGTTTCACCATTTCACTAACGAAATGCGCCCTCAAAAAACTGGCAGAAACCACAAGTGTAAGGTGAAAATATAACGATCTACAATTCAGTATTACCTGTAACTACCTTACAAGGACAATAAATAGTTGTACATGAATGTTAACAATTTCGTTTCACTTAAAAAGGTGGTGTACAAAAAAAAAACAGTACCCGTTTGTTTTGAAACATATTGTGGTTAATCAAGTATCAATAAAAGTCGGCGCTTACTTCTTAAGTGCAAAAGAAGTTTGGGGATTCAGGGATACCCATTTACTCATCAATAAATTCCACATAGCGACAATAAATTCATGTCGAAATTCTTTGGATATTTCGCCAAACTGATTGTTATTCACAATGGATAGTATCATGTTCTCAATTTCGCATTGAGGATTACCTTTACTGTTTGAATTATGCTTTGAGTTTTCTTTACTTTGCTCCATGGTTATAGACAATATCTCATTGACCATTTGAAAAGATGCCAATTTGTTCAATAAAAGTAAGTAAATATTCATGGACACTTGTGATAATTTGCACCAAATTCAACTTTTGATGACAATCTCAGTGACATTTAATAAACTAAACGTGATAATATCCGAGGCATTTAGCTACTAATTCATTCGGGTTATACGTTCTATGTAACCCCCTAGTGTTTCCTTGAATATGACGTTTGTCTTGATGTCATTTAAAATTGTAAGAATTAGGTAGTAACGTTGTTTTGCTCATCAAAACTTTACCTTTTCAGACAGATGGATTGTTAAAAGCTTTTCTATAGTTGATTGCTGAAATAAACGGTCGAATAACAGTATGAACAGAGAGATGATTTCTTGAAAAGTAACAACTATTATCTAGTTTTTGTGCAAAAATTTATTATTTTTGGAGTTTCAATGCAGATGGTAGTTGAAGTGCACCACCTCTGGTAAGCTAGCTTATTATCAAATATGTGATACGAAACAGCACTTCGAAGTTGATTTATTACACAGAATGTTGATCGAATTGACGGATGATGTAGTCTCATATAAAGATGATTGTGTTTTTACAGTCTTTAACCATAATAAACCTAGATTATTATTAAAACTTCTGACGCTGTGAATTAACTGATTGATAATTGACGCGGAGTCGTAAATGCAGGATTTTTGACTTCACTCATAGGTATAGCATACACTTAAGTGAATTTCAAACGTGATGGGACCTTTAAACGTATAATTGACCATACGTTTAGGTTTCCCGAAACGTGAACTGGTCATGAGGTAACTCTCAGTGCCAAGTTCACGCCTAGAAACCTAGGATGGCTACCACAGTAAGTATATGTCCACAATTGCAGTGAAATTTTGGTAATTATTCACAAATTAAGGAGATTGTACTTTGTTTAAAGAACTGCAATATTTTTTTACATTGATTGTGTTTCAGAAAATGTCTTTTTGCAAATTCTAACCACTATAAATCAGTATTTTATCGATGATGCTAAGGTTCATGATAATGAAGCATCAACTGCCGAGCTGGTTATTTTACCTTAGATTTTTCAGGACTGGTAAGAAAAAAGTATATTGAAGATGCCACAGGTATTCAGAGGTTGACAACGCTTTTACCAGTAACACCTTTTAATATGAAGCGCACCCACCAAGAGAAATCAAAAGACAGAAGCGAGGAGATCGAAGATATATTTGATAAGCTACCAATATATCGAGGATCGTTTGCACTAATCTGGCTAGCGATTGTGGTAGATGTTGAGCACAGCGTTCCCACACGTGATTTGGAGCGGATGCTTGACCGAGAGCCTTCAGCTAGATGAGTCCATTAGAACTAATGTGATCAGCATCCAATGTCGAAAACTTACAGAGCTATTTGATTTTGGGGAATTATTTACCGCTACAGATCACTCCCCACTAGTGAGGTAGTGATGACCCTAAGACGTGGCCAGCCAGAAGTTTAAACCCAACGAGTTTTTCGTTAGTAAACACTCTTCTGATAGCTTGATAGGTTTAGCAGCGTCTGGTCGTCTTTCCTTACTATAATGGACCATGATGACAATATAGTAAAAAAAAGGTACAATGCAGATTTTCGTCTTTCGCAGCTTCATCGTTCTTTTCATTGTCTTTTCCAGCCGTCCTGGAAAAGAAAAGAAAAATGTGTAAGTGCACACGCGTAGAAACACAAAACGGGCGAAGAAAAAGGAAAACAAACTCATGCTCACGTAATAGTGTAAAAAAGAATTTTTATAATATCGTTATTTTTTCTTTTTTCTTTTTTGAAATAAAAATATAAGCATATTAAATTAGGGTTTTTTTTAAAAAAATTATATGTAGTACAAGGGGAAATCGGGAAGATATAAAATGTTAACTTGTGTCTTACGAGCGGTAATCGTTCAAATGTTCTGGAAATCTTACTCTTCTTCCAGAACGCGTTAATTTGAGTTTATTTTCGGATACTGTCGAAGTATCAACGTGTGTGTCTGCATTATAAGGGCAGGAGTTGTGTCGTGCGATTGTATTGAAGGAAAATCGACGTGAATAGGAGTTCCTTCTAAATACGCTGCTTTGAGGCGATCAATACTGATGCTTTCGTTGGTTCCGTTCTTATCGATTATATAGTACTTAGATTCGCGTTGAAGAACTTTGAAAGGTCCTTCATATGTTGATTTGAGAAATCATCGATGCGAGTCTCGACGTACGAAGACGTGTGTACTATGTCGTAAGTCAGGTTGAACGAAAACATCAGTTGATTGAGGTGTAGTGGAAACAGGTTTAACTGAACGCATTGCGTTTGCAAGCCTGTTCGCGTAGGAGGTTAGCTCCATGTCCATCAAAGAGGATGAAGGATCCACGAACTCTCCTGAAAGTCGAAGGGTCGTACCATAAACGAGTTGAGACTCAGTGTATCGAATGTCAGCTTTCACTGCATTGCGTATGCCTAGTAAGACGAGTAGGAGAGCGTCAGTTCACTGAGAAATGTTTGAGGCTGATAGTGACGCTTTTAGTTGTCAGTGAAAGCGTTCTACTAACCCGTTTGTTTGTGGGTGGTAGGCCGTCGTTCGGAAGTGAGTGATTCCTAGTTTCGCGCTCAGACGACGGAAAAATTCAGCTTCAAACTGACGTCCACGATCCGTAGTAATGGTTGTTGGGCAACCGAAGTTTGCTACCCATCGTTCGACGAGCGGGCCAATCCCTCACGTCTTCATTCATACCAGACCAGCAAAACCGTTCTGCTATAAGCTTGATGGTTGCACGAACACCTGGATTCCTTGGGAACTGTTCAAGGAATTTATACGAGACAAGGCGTCTGCAACTACATTGTGTGCTCCAGAAATGTGTCGAATATCTGAAGTAAACTGCGAAATGTAGTCCAGTTTTCGAGACTCACGTGGTGAGTACTTGTCTGAAGATGAGCTTAAGGAGAAAGTAAGTGGTTTATGGTCTGTAAAAATGGTGAATTGACGGCCTTCGATATAGTGTTGAAAATGCGGACAGCACAATACATAGCTAAGAGTTCCCTACCGAATGTGCTGTACCTTGATTCAGTGTCTAGCAACCATCTAGAGAAAAATGCTAAAGGTTGCCAGGAGTGGCTAACCAATTTTTGTAAGACTGCTCCGATTGCTGAGTCAAATGCATATACTGCGATGCTAATGGGCGCTTCAGGGTCCTGTTGAGCAAGCATTGTTGCTTGAGTGATATGTTCCTTAAACGTGGAGAATGCTTTTCATGCAGTGTCATCCAGAATGATGGATTTCGTATTTCCACGAAGTTGGTCGGTAAGGGGTTTCATAAGTAAGGCGCATTTCGGTATGAATCGTCTATAGAAACACACCAGACCGTTAAACGTGCGCAATTGCTTGATGGTGGTTGGTTCTGGGTAATCCAGAATGGCCGCCACCTTTGTTCTAAGGGGTCGGATGCCTTGCGCATCTATGATGTGTCCTAAGAAGCCTAAGGAGTCGGTTCCGATTTGGCATTTCTGAATGTTTATAGTAATGACATGTCTTTGTAGTCGGTCAAAAACAAGATCCAGATGCTGGAGATGTGATTCTCTGTCCGGACTTGCTATTAGACAGTCATCAACATACGCATGTACGAAGTTGAGACCTCGAAAAACGTCATCTATGAACCTTTGAAAAGTCTGTGCCGCGTTTCCAAGACCGAAAGGCATTCGCAAAAATTCATGAAGTCCGGAGGGAGTTATAATAGCGGTTTTTGGAATGTCTTCGGTGGCCATAGGAATTTGGTTATAAGCCTTTACCAAGTCGATTTTCGAAAAGACAGTTGTACCTTTCAAGGTAGCTGTCAACTCGTAAATGTGGGGCAACGGGTAACGATCGGGAACGGTTTTCGCATTCAATCGCCGATAGTCACCAGTTGGACGCCAATCATTGCTGTCCTTTTTAGGGACCATGTGCAACGGAGATGCACATGGGCTATTTGACGGTCGTATGATTCCTAAGTCTATCATATGGTCGAATTCGTTTTTCGCCAACCTTCACTTTTCGGGGGCCAGTCGGCGTGCTTTCGGGAAGACAGGTGGTCCTGTAGTCGTGATGTGATTTGTAACGTTGCTGGTTACACACGGCAATTTCCGTTGCGATTGGTAAATGCCTGAATACTTATCGAGTAGTAGTTGGTAGAAGGGGTCTATAGTGTGCTTAATAGTGACTGGAGATAACCTGCAACCAGAAAAAGAAGTCAGGCAAACAGATGAATTAGTATTTCCATCTACTAGCCTCCGTTTGCGCGTATCCATAATTAAGTTGTGGTGTTATAGAAGGTCCATACCGATGATTAGCGTGGAAACAACAGCAACATCAAAGATCCAGTGAATGGGTTCGCGTAAACCCACGTTAAGATAAACATACCTTTGGCCATACGTAGCGATAGGCTTTCCGTTTGTCGCCTGTAGATTTAAAACGGACTCGTGAAGCCAGTCGTTGGAATTCGCCAGTATCGACGAGGTAGCAAACTCTCGTTATCACATCAGTTACATATAATAGACGGCTATGTTCGCCGACTACGGTCGCCGTTAACGCGTGCCGGCTTGGGAGTTTCCGAAACATTCTTCGCGTCGACCGATTTCGCGTTGGGAAATTTGCAGGGTTTTCTGCAATTTCTGGCGAACTTTCCGTACTAGTTATGATACCAGCACCAGTCAGGATTATCCGTCTCTCGAGGTCTAGATACAGACCGTCTACGTGATGGGCTTCTTCGCGGGGTAAGTGACCGTTTACGGTCGTTACGGAGTTTGAGATAACGAGTAAGTGTATGACATAATTCTGCTGTGTCATTCTGGGTGGTTTGAGGCTTTTCTTTGACTGAAAAACCCTCGACGTTAGAAGATCCAGTGATTTCAAGGATGCGGTCAACAGATGCAGCCAGCTCGTCTACGGCGTTGTTTTGGAACGAGACCAAAACAGCTTGCACCTGTTGAAGAAGTTTGGATAATAAAAGTTGTTTGAAGGTTCTTTGGCCACTGACTTCTCGCATTCTTTGCAACATGTCTGTGGCAGAACCGTGTTGCAGGTCGATGTCGTTGAGGAGTTGGTCTAAACTTTGTCGATCGGTTAGATCTCCGTGTTCCATCATAGTAATATATCAAGTACGAAAATGGACGAGTAGGAAAAATATATATACCCAAAATCACGGGATAAATATCACAATGTATATAAAAAAAGATAAAAATAAGGCAATTATATATAAAATCACAAAGAGGAACAGACTCACAGTTTGCAATTTGGTGTACCAGATCACACCGGGCTCACAAATGAAGATGCCACAGGTATTCAGAGGTTGACAACGCTTTTACCAGTAACACCTTTTAATATGAAGCGCACCCACCAAGAGAAATCAAAAGACAGAAGCGAGGAGATCGAAGATATATTTGATAAGCTACCAATATATCGAGGATCGTTTGCACTAATCTGGCTAGCGATTGTGGTAGATGTTGAGCACAGCGTTCCCACACGTGATTTGGAGCGGATGCTTGACCGAGAGCCTTCAGCTAGATGAGTCCATTAGAACTAATGTGATCAGCATCCAATGTCGAAAACTTACAGAGCTATTTGATTTTGGGGAATTATTTACCGCTACAATATCAACAAAATTATATGTGAAGTAACCTTCATACCTCTTTTTTGGGTAATATATTGAGTCAATGAACATCGATTCAAAATACTTTCTATGCGATACAGTATCCCATCTAGTCACAAAACAAAGTCAGGTCACAACAACGTCGTCTAATTAAAGCCCACCTACTGGTTCATTCCGAGGTTATAAACAGAACATTTCATACTGACAGCAACCATTTGAATCATTTAATTCAACACCTTTTTTGGCGATTTTGAACATGATTTTGTGGACGTTACTATCAGGATTTTTTCCGCGAAAACTATTCTTTATATATTCGACTGCATTATTCAATATTGATGGTCGTCGTACTGAAGAAGGTACGTTTTCCTTCTCCTCATATGATGACACTCTAATCGGTGGAGCACACATCATAAGAACTGCAGAACAAAAGTGGTGGTGCTCGATTTAAAAGTCCATAACGTACACTCATCACTTCGTAATGTAGCTCAAAGCACTGACTCACTATCAGTAAATTTCCATCCACATCCTTAAGGCATAACACAACAACACTATGTATGAAGTTAACATATGCCTAAGAATACACCGGAATTTCTTAAATTCACTAGCGTTTCAGAGGGGCATATTAGTTCTTAAAAAGTGAGGACAGGACAGGAAGGTCTTCCAACTTACAATACTCCATGTTTTGTACTGTAAGTCAGGGATATTTTGCCATGTCCCAGCCATGTCACTGAATACCAAGCAACTTGCCAATTCTCACTTAGGTCACGCACAACCAACACGCATCAGTCAGCGACACACTATGGACAGGCCTATGTTATAAATATTGCAGTCCTCAAATCTATTCCAACCAACATAGTTATTCCACCACGTCATGTTTGTTCTCTACGGTAATCGAACTAACCTCACTGTCATGATACGTTTAGTGGGTAGTCCGTGTCATGTGTTACCATGAGTGGTAATTTCGATGTAAGCTAGTACCGTTCAACTTAATTAGATCACAATCATCAAAATAGACCACCTACATAATTGATCTAAAATACCAATCGATAACTGACTTCATCAGACACAAAACATCCATTCCTAAAAAAACTTATGCATAACCAGAATGCCGGCTATTTGTTGTGATTTACTGCATTCAGTCCTGCGATGTACATTACATCCTACGAATTTCAGCAGGGTTTTCAAACCACGTTATAAAATAGTTGGTTTCAGGTCTAAATTGCTATTGAGAAACATAAATGTTAACGGTAAAAACCATACCCGCTAGGTCTAGATTATATAGGTGTTTATTGAGACGCTTTTCTCAAGACTGAAAATGTGTTTAGTCGAGGTAGCCTTTGAGTGATTCCAACTTGACAACTCTTGACGAACCCACCTCCAATTCATGTAGTGGTGAGGTAGATAGAACTTTGGGGTGGTTTATTGTATACTGTTTACGTTGAGAGATATAAGTAGCGATATCAATGATAGTGATGTCAGCAATATCAAACGTTACTGATTATATTAGCATTAAATAGAAGCGTCCTGTAGAATATCAAAATAAGATCCCTGAACTAACTTGCGTGGAACTATTCTTAAGCCATAGATAATCAATTCATGTCTCTCACGTCACCTGACATCAACATAAAATCCGACATACATTGCCTCCCATAATCCACTCTCTACTCCTTTTATCTTCGGATACTTGGAAACCAGTATTATCTTATGCTGGTATGTATAGTGGCAAGCTCAACTTAGCCTGGGATTAAAAAATACTGTAAGATTTTATTCATTCATACATTATACATACATTTATTCAAACACACATGCGTGAAAACATTTTTGTACACTCATTCTAAAGCTGTTCCTAATAGATTTCGAAAATATTAATATTATTTAGTAACCTCTTCATGAATAACATAATTTTAATTGACTCGGCAATATTGAAGTATGGTCCTTCATAGACTGAAGAATTGAAGTGTCATACGCCCATGCTTACATGTCATAATAAATGTTAGGTGAGATGTTGCAAAAATTCACTTGTTGTGACTAAATAAAAATGGTTTGGCAAATCTTTATCAAGTTAGCCACACGAGAATACTTGTTTTCTGTCATAAATTAACACGATTGATGCGGCACAACGCAAGAACCATGGAAAATCAATAGCGCACCATACACAATCAGCAAATCTCTCAGTTTTTAACCACTATCCAAGAATCAAGTCAAAAGGTGAGTTAGATCCGGTTTATTCTTCGAGAAAGTGGTCATGTCTAAGTACATTGAAGTAAGCGGGACTTGAGATAAACTGTTCTATGACGTAAAAAATGTATTACATTTACAATAGCTAACAAACATGTCCAAAATACTGGATCACATATTTTCTACCATTCAAAGCCCTGCTTATAAAGGAATCAGAATACGCATCACTCGGTGTCTCGACCTATATTTCTCGCTTCCGTTCGCAAGTACAATCGTATAAACCGATGATTAACAAATTATTTGATTTTAGTCTCTTGCATAGTTAGTAGTCTGTAAACTAGAGAAAATTCTGTAATAACTCATATTTCACGCCTGCAATCGCTAATGGATACTGCACTGTTGATGAGCTTCAGTGTTAACAGTGGACAGTATTACCATTAATCCTTCTCTACCGCAAATGTTAGCTTTTACCTTGTCAAATCGTGAATGAAGATGGCTACATTTCGACCCTCAATAGACCTTGTCTATAGCATACAATAGTTAGAGTATAGAAACGAACTACAAGTTCCGTTGTCTGAAGGCCTTCGTTAATTAAGAAAATTTAGTGAATAGCGTCCCAATGATCTTCGTAATCCTATTGAATGTTGAACATTGTCACTCTCTAACGTTGTTCGACTTATCATGTTGTGGCCGGACGTAGAGAAGTAACTTTCTATGGGAGTAATCTTTTGAACTCTCACTACGTTAAGTCCCAACAACTTTAAGAGGCCAAATATAAGCTAAAAAAACTGGAGAAAGTAGAATTGAAATTTATTAAAAGTAGGCTATAGACAAAAAGTGTGAACTGTTTCGTAACAGCAAATTATTTATACACAATTACCGTCTTATATCTGAGACATATAAGTAAGCCTTCATTGTAAGCCGGCTTATGGTTGTACGAAATGAGTATCTCGGCGCACCCACATGTGATCTTGTGCGGATGCGTAACCAATCGACTTCGTCAAGATGTGCCCAGTTAAACTAATCGGATCAGTACCAGTATAGAAGACTTACACAACTACTTATTTCGGAGATTTATTTAATGCTCTAGCCTCCTTATAATGTGTTTAAAAGTCGATTGCTTTCAAGTATCATACTCTCACAATCTGTGAAGTTTTCCATAATGACTCAATAGATTGATAATAACTTTTATCAACACTATAAATTACTTTAAGCACATCTTTTGTGTACAACTGTTGCGCCGAGGAATCAATACAATTTTTTTTCACTTGATAAGGTCATTGAGTAGACTTTGTTCATATTCTCTACAGTCATTTGAAACTTCATAAAATGTATAAAATTCGAGTCAATCGCATTATTACTTATTATTATGAGTATAGATCTGTTTGACAAAAAAAAATTCAGACATCACAAAAATCCTTGTTTTTCCGTTTCAAATACTTAAATTACTATAACAACCTAAAATTGACGATGGTATGAAATCGTGATTCTCATAGTTTTATAATATTTAAATTATAGCCAGCAAGCAGTTTCGTAAGTGCAGGAACACGTAGCCAAAGTTTTCACTCTTCCAATTCGTCACATTCTAAGCGGTCCAAAACACTATCGTACCGCACAATAAGTAGACATTCCAATGTGGATGAAAATTTATTCGGATTGCCTTTGCATTTAAAAGAACGACAGGTGGTCGAATTTAAAATAAGTTTTATTTTTCATAGTTTCGTTTAACAGATCAGGGTGATAGTTTTGCGAAAGACCCCGACATCATTATTACAAAACAAAAATTGTTTAGACCAGGTTTATTACGGGAAGAGCATGAAATAGAAAAAGAAAACCAGCAGAGAAGAAAAATAAGGCATCTCACATCTGATTTGGTTCGTAATCTTATGTAAGGAATTTTGCAATCTATATTGTTTCGCAGAATACCTTCAGATTATATTGACAAGAAAAGAATAGTCATACCACCAGAAAAATATAAAGAACTTCTACAAAAAGCCAAATTGTTGACAGATGAAGAGGAACGATTTGCTTATGAGCAAGAGAAATCTGAACAAAAATCAATTCTGGTAAATAAACATTGAAAATCGTTGTATTATGCTTGAAGTCGACTGATGTAGAATTGAAAAACTGAAAAAATATTACTTTAGAGTCCCTAAGATGGTATTTGTAAACAATCTGGAAACAAAAATTAATGTTAATGTTCTGCATAATTGCTGAATAAACATCTTCAGTGTTAACTGAGTATGCAATAGTCACTTGGAAAAAAATTCATTTTACCTGTAAAATTGATGAAGAGGTCTAAAACATCCAGGGATGAACAATGCCTTTGTTAACAAAACCTTCATAATCAAAGGATATAAATCCATTAAGTCGGAAGTCAGCAATGTATAGGTTTGAATGTATATTTAGAAAAGTTGTCGATGTGTGCGAGGAGTCTCGTTGCAAGGGATGAGTAGCATGGTGCGCTCACCCGTGATCTGGTACAGATGCGTGATCAAGCAGTTTTAGCCAAGGCATTTCTTGTAAAACCAATGAGGTTAGCATCAGTTTTGAAGACGTACAGGACTTTGTTTGGGGGATATATTTACTGCTACAGTTTTCTGCGTCTATTTGTATATATGACATATATCCCTGAACAAAAGTAATATTTAATATGGGTTCGTTCATTGTAACATGTTAAAGCTAATTCAATAGTAAAGAAAACTTTAAAAAGATATTAAAAGCTGTGTCTGTTTCATATAGCAACAAATACAAAATACTTGAGCTAAAACTACAGATATTTGAGTAAAAATAATGTTTCAGTCATGTTTTTTTACTTTTGAAGTGGTCTTATTTCGGAAATTCTCAAACTATTTAGTCAGTGAAATACAATATTTTTACATATCATCTTGAAATTCTGAGCTTACAACTTAAAAATATGGCCCAATGTAAGCTGTCATGGATAGTTAACAAATTTTAATCCTTCGATGATTATTCAGAAATATCTGACTGCTTACAAAATTATTGGCTTTGGATTACCTCATTTCTATAACTTTTTAGACTGCTTAATAGTTATCAACTATGTACTATTGGAAGTATCTCATGTGAGGATACGCCATTTTTTAAAATAATTTTTACCCTTCACATGATCACTGAAAACCAACACAATCGTAAGTACCCAGCATTTGAACATGAGCTTCAAAACCTTTGAAAGTGAATTAATAACGTTTAGGATACAAATATTGATATAAACGCGACAAACTTTCTTTCACATGATTATACTTGTATGCCTATGTGGTATTTGACGATATAATTTTATAGTGATCTTTTTCTGCCTTAGAACATCGTTATTAGATTCGTGCAACGCACTCCGATGACCAGAGTACTTTTCAAAATCAAAATATCTAGCAGCAAAAAGATATGATCTTCATAGATTTAAAGTAGATATTACATTTTTCATTTACGTCCAGTAACTAAACTAGGAACGTCAAAAGAAAGCTGACGTTTTGAAATTCAGATGTTTTAAGTTTTTCATCCAACCTTTTATACATAAAAGAATTTTAATGTTCAGTGATCCTTACTGTTTTTTCGTAGGAAGCAGTAGAGCAACGTAAACAGAAAATGCGTGAATATGATTTAAATCGTGTGCGCAATGAACGACTTACGGATTTGGAAGAAGAAGCAAAGAAACAAGCAGAAATTTTGTTGCAAAAAGCTTTGGAACAACGGCAAGATCAGGAAGATGAGATAAAGGCATTAAACGAATGGATATTAAATGCAAAAATACAAGCAATAAGAGACGAACAAATTCTGGAAAAAAGCTTAATTAAGAAGGAAATGGCTGAAGAAGAACTACGTTTGGATAATATGATGGAGTTAGAAAGACAAAACGCTATACACATACAGGAAGAGATAGAAAAAAGGCGTAAACACCAGGTAGCAGCTTTACTTGAGTTCTATTATTGATTGATCTGGAAATTCTTTTGGTGGGCTGACTGAATAATATTATTCTATTCTTTAACAAAAGCAGTCCTTTAAATAATCCACAACGACTTAGATGAATTTTTAAGGGAACATGTTCATGATGTGGATATAATCCATTGTTTTCCTTTTTGTATATCTCAGATATTCCTACTGTTAACAAAGCACATATTATAAAGTTATTTGAAACTAACCATAAGCTGAATGACTAATAAAGCTATCATTGAACGTCTTAGTAAAGATAGAGTTTTATGATGTGGATTTACGTCAGCATATTTCATGAAAAGCACGATTGGTAAACTTTATCTGTTATTGAATAGTTATTTCTCAATAATAACCATTGTTATGTTCTTTTCTGAGTTGCTAACTACGTTGCGAAGTCGTGGCATGTAAATTCACTCTTATCTAGAACCCCGGCGAGGATACTGAGAAATCATAATTTTATAACTCAAGTGATTGTGAGCTAAACTTATAGCTAAAATCCACTACGTCTAGTAAACCTTAGCATACGCATAACCGGGGCATTTTTAATTCAAAGCTGAGTAAACGTTTTATAAATGTCTGGAATTTATGAACAATAAATGGTGTAGCAACAACCAATAAATGGAAAGATATATTACCGTCAAAAGTATATGAAAATATTACGAATTAACTGTTTGGAGAATATCCATTGAAAAAATATATAAACTGATTCAATAAAGAGTGAGAATCCAAGTTTCATATCTCTTTTCTCACCTTTGACAGACTGGAACAAAATACAAAACAACAACCGCCAAATTTGTTGATTATTTCGTTTACCTAAAAATACAATGAAATATATGTAAGTACGAAATTTTCTCATACACAAACCTGAAAATACACCAAAGCATCACCTTCTTTTATGTAAAATTGATATTAGAAACACACATATATGAACGAGTGACATTCTTTATAATATTATCTGTAGATTCTGCAAATATAAATCCAAATTACTAATCCAAACAGTGGTCGGGTCTTAGAAAAAATACATCATTCAAAGTTATAGCGTATGAATTTAGGGCTGTTTGTCACATAAAATAAATAATCAGTGCCGGGTTGACTAATATTTGATGTTAAATTAAATAAGATTATATGTTAAATGAAGTTGTGAGATTAATGGTTGGAATAAATATGGTTAAGACAAAGTGACAGATATAATAATGCAATTATAAAGTTGCCAAAATGTTTAGCGGAAGACTACTGTTCATAAATAATTTTGTGTATAAATAATAATAACGAGAAAGTCACAGTTCTTTAGAAAATCCGGCGAAATTTTCAAAGAAAAAAACAACCAAAAGCGGTATGTTTACAACTTTCTCACGAATGTTTGTTGAGGTCATGTAAATTATTGATTACTTAGTCTGTTATTTACTGTAACGTTCTTCGTGGTACTAATGGACATTAATTTTGATACATGAAAAGTTATTTCTTTATACAACTGTTTATTTTACTTTATTTAGTTTTGCATTTTTAAGCTGCTAGTGACATTAACCCAATAGTATCTGATACAAATTTGAAGCGCGTAATAAAAAAGTTATCGAAATAATCCGTTGAGATTATACTTAAAACAAGGAGAGCACATTTTCAAAAATCCGCAGCTATCCAAATAATAAATTGTTAAATGACATCCCAATTGTTCAGTTATTTACATTCATTAATCACTAAACCATAACCAATATCATGTTCATCTAGACATTCTTACTTATCAAGCTCTTTTGTTTAACTTAAAGTGTGATTTAAGCTGTCCTATATCGAATGAACTGTTTCCATATCTACATGATTAAACCAGTGGCTAGAAAACCCCAAACTTAAGTTTCATGCTAAATGGCAGTCCTAAGCACGACGTACCTGTTATTGGAAGGAGAATGATTCTCTCCGTGATGATTTCACTGATGTTATATGCTGACGATTGTTACTCAATACAGAACCAATGTTTGGGTTGTCTTGTTGCATCCCTCTAACTACTCAACACCTTTTAAGAGACCTAAAACAAGCCCTTTAAACACTTAATTAGACAACCATAATAAAACCATGAGTATCAGTTTATTATTTCTCAGGTTATCAGAAGAATATGTAGTGTCGGTTACTATGTTAAGTCCATATAGCTTATTCTAGCTCTCGGACAGCTCAATTTATTCATTCTAGTTGAGTCTATATTCTGACCTTGTTAATTATTCGCTTATCAATCTTGGTTGTTTTCATGAGCGCGTAGGCGTGTGTACACTTCTTATCCCATTACTCATCACATGTCTGTAACTTATTTTTGTATAACTATAAATATTGATTAAGGCTTGGTTTAAAGGGGAGTTAACTTACCAGCCATCTCCACTGCGCGTTGTTTCGCCTCTCTTTATTCCATTAGCCTCACATACAAAATATATGTATTCAAAAGTTCATTCTCGTCTTTTAACTTATTTAATTCCGTTATTGACTAGCGCGATTTAAGTCAATGGTTATATATGAGGATAGGCGATAACAAACATTCATACGATCTATTTGGAGTCAGATCCACGGGTCACTAAAGTGGAGAGCCCTTCGACGAACATCGTCCGATCTAAATTGACAAAAAATAAAGGGCCATACAAATATTCTATAAAATCTCAAAGTGAGCACATTGTTTCAAAACTTGTGCCTATGATTATATACGTGAAGAAAATGATAGTTTAATGAATGAACTTTTCACTTCAAATATATCAATACTAATGAGTTTATCCTTCTGAAAAAAAATCTTCCCTGCGATCTCATGATCAGTGGGTAACATCCGAATTTTACCAGCGAAATTCCTGACATTTAGTTTATTCATTGATTCCAATTTGTTTAGAATCTTATGAGTTGCATTAATTTACTCAAAACGATATACGAATTTTATAGGATTGATTTTTTTATTATAAGACTGTTTTTTTAGTAAACTAAAATTTTATAATTTCGGCGAATCCTGATATCATTAGCGTAATCATACAGTTATAGGTGGGAGCAAATTAAAATTATATCTTGATAATTTTTTGAAATCTGTTATTATTATTATTATTATTATTATTATCGAATTTTCTTAGGAAATTCTTGGAGCTTGTAGAGTTTTAGAACAAATCGAGGAGAACAAACAAGATCGTTTATTGGAATTAGAAAGAACCGAACAAGAAAATATTTTAGCGACACAACGAATAGCTGACGAGAATATGAAAGAAATTGCTAACAGAGAGAAGAAAAGAAAAATTCAAGAAAAAATGAGAATAGAGCTTAATATAGCTAATGAGGAATTACGAAAACGACGAGAAGTTGAAAAAGAAAAAGATCGTCTAATGGATTTGAAAATAATGCAAATTCAAAATGAAAAAGCAGTAAGCCACTACTCCATAAACCATCTTTTATTGGCACAAAAGCATGATTGATTTTTAAATGAAATCACTTTACATAAGATATTGACTGTAAGTTATTGTAGAAAGAGCTAGTGAATAATCAATTTGTATTCATGCATTCTCATTCTCTAACAATGAAATTGTGTTGTATAGACAAGGACTGTAAAAGCTGTTGCACAAGAACTAAGCGAAATGCGCTACATAGAAAAAGTTGGCATTGATATGATGGAGTAGAACTCGGAAAATGATAACAAGAGATTAAGGGATATTAAAGAATTGTTTCTAGTAAAAAATCGATAGAAATTGATTTTTTCAATTTGTAGGTGTATATTATTGTTGATAAATAATGTGATATAGAACTACAGCAAGTTCTTCACTAGCTTTTGTTCTAAGTCATAGCGTATCAAATATCAAGCGACTGAATTACACAACCACAAACATTTTAAATAAAGAATTTCTTGCTTGAACTTATTAGCTTCTGGTGTGGTTTGCATTACCTATGCAGACATAAGTAGTATTTAGCAGGTGTTAGAAGTAGAATGTTTATCAGCAGAACAATGAAATAAAAATAGGAGAAAGGAAAATGATGAGCAAGCAGCATAACATTATGATTGAAAGAATAATGAAGTATGTTAAGAACAGCTGAATGATGTATGATTTTCATCTTTCACAAAGGCATTGTTTGTTTTTGTATAAAACAGTGAATTGTTTTTTCCCACGAAGTCTATGTTCATTAATTACATTAGTAAAAATTCTTATATACTAACTTTCAGAAAATAAATTTTATGGATATTCGTTATTTTTTCCAGAATCATGATATTTATTAAATACGTTTTTGTGTAAATGTGTAAAATCATAGAAAATACTACTTCAAGTTAACTGAAATTGATGTAACAGTTAATTTAGAATGTTTTCTTGTTAACTGAATCATAAAGAGTAAAGTAATATTGTTTCTCTACACTTCTCACTTTGTCCATGTCAAAGGAACGAGAAATAATATTAAGCAAAATTGGCAATTCATAAACACTGAATACAATGTATGCTTAATACGCTTATATGAATCATTACCTTCTTGTAATCCTTTTCGTATATACTACAATAATTCTATGCATAATAATCGGAAACAAGTAATGAATATCTATTAATATTTGTGAATTACCTAGCGTGCTAAACAATTTTTAGAGCAAAGAATTTCGCTTTACAATCGACTTATTTTTATGATAATTGTATGTAATTGGAAGTAATATTTTCGGATATATTGAATTAAACTGATGGAACTTTTTTTAAAGTTAAAAACTTCATATCAATCCGACCTTATGAAGATTCAAATATGTTTATTTATGTCAGCTGGTGAAGTCTGCTGCACTTAAATCGGAAGATTAACGACATTTGAATTGGATCTAATTAATTCTAATTGCTACTTTCATCAAATCATTCAAAAAAAAAAACAGATTTTATCTTAGATACAATGTTGATGTGATTTTCACAGTTGGTCTCGCTGAATAATTAGAAATCGTGTCGTTATTTATTTATTTTAAAACAACATACTTTGTTAAATCGCTTTAAATAACTCATTTGTTTTATTGTATTTATGATCAGAAAACCATTATAAACACTGTGATTTTAAGAAAAATAGAAAAATTCAATCATGAATATGATTCCTAACAATCTTTTCTCATTTAAAGGAACGTGAAGCTGCCTATGAAGCCGAACAATTACGTATAAAACGTGAGAAAGAACTAGAAATTACACGTTTACGTGCATTACAAGAAAGAGCATCGGATGAGGCTGCAGAACGTGATGCATTAAGAGCTAAACGTGCAGCTGAAGCAAATGAAAGAGAATGGAGACGTAAAGAATTATTAGCTGCACAGAAAAAAATTGAAACAGAAAATGAATTGAAATTAGCTAGAGCAGCACAAGCTGAAGACAGAAAACGTCAGTTGGCAATTGAAGCTGGTCGTGAAAGAGTTGAATTTGAAAGAATTTTGAAGTAAATTATTTTATATTACACAATCAATTATACACTCTATGTTATTTTATTCAAATGGCAGATATACGTTTGTTTGATAAATAATAACTACATTTTCATATACGCTGAACATTTACAAACTGTAGTTATTTCTAAATGTTTGAAAATGCAATCTTAGTTGACACACTTTATTAATTTTTCGAGCTCGCAAGCGGGCTTTGAATCCAAACAGCTCATCAAGTTTCAGTTGAATGTTTACACTATCAAACGCATGAATTATTAAAATTTATTATGTTAGTAAACTCTAAAAGTGAGATTTTTGTGGTTAGGTTATATGAAAATTAGTGATGATCATAGTTGTGGAAATGATTGACTATAAAACATTTTATTCTCAAGAAATATAAATTAAAAACAGGCTCTTGAAGCATACTTTATTGAGATCATATATCATGTCCTTCTTTTAAACGACCCTTTACATATGAATACATTTGCATTTTAATAGATTAAAATTTTATTTCTCACTCAATTAATATTTATTCTGAAGGGGTACAGTTACAATACTACACTTTACTTCTCCTATTCATAGAATGTCAACTAACATTCAAGATTCCAAGTAAAATATGGAAAAAAGTACAACGAACCAATTTACATTATTGAATCTCTTCAATATTCCTCATTTGAAAAGTTACTATTTGACTCAACAATCTGTCGATTTCATTTAAAACACGACAACAGCAATAAAAATAATAAAATGTAATTGGAAAAAAACAGTATGAGAAATCTGCCATAAAATCAACGTAAGATAATAAAATATTGACTCATTAAGGAGAAATAAAAAGCGAATACAATATTGGTAGTGACTTCCATTTCAAAAGATGTCATATAAAGTCATTGATCCAATGCTCACGATAGAGATGATCATATGTCAAGTGAATGAATATTGAGCATGAATAATTCACTGCTCAACTAAATTTTTCAATACTCATAAGAATAATTTATATCTGAGACAAGTAAGGTCAGTCATAAAAAAGCCCAAAAAATTTTGCATAATTAGAAGCCGATAAGTTAGTACAAAACACACGTTATATGTTACTATAAACAGAAGCAGTAAAATTACGATCAGTGATACGTTTTTTTAATTAGATCAACTATTTTAATTGAATATCATTGAGAAAATGACTTTATGGAAAAGAAACGTTTTTATTTTAATTCATGTACTTTTTAAGACGTCAGCAAGAACTTGTAGAAAATGATAAACGCGCTGAATATGAAGCTAAACAGAAGAGTTTTCAAAATTTAAAAGATCTTCGCCTTCAAATATATGAAAAAGAAAAAGAACGCATTGCAGAAAGAAATGCTGTATTCGAAGAAGGTCTGCGATTAAATGAAGAAGCAAGATTAAGGCGTTTGCGTTTAAACGAAGCAAAAACACGTAAATTAAAAGAGTTAAAGTAAGTTGTTCTATTTTGGTATTGATTATTAGCGGAACGCAAGAAGTATTTTACGTCACATTTCATATCTTTCTTAAAAGCATATACCTACATCTTAGTAAGTTTTATTTGTCGTAATGTAAGTTAAAGCTAACAATATTTGCATTTATAATGCTTATTTGTAATGAAAACAATGTATTGAAATACACTTTGAATGGTACGTAGTAATAAAATCTTGGAGTTCCTCGTCGTTTTTTAATAGTCATTCAATTGAATGTACCCACGTCCCAGTGGTGACGTTCACAGGTTTACTACAATCTGTTAATAATCACATCAAACACTAGAACAGTAGTCCAATAGTCTTGTGAGTAACGATAACCACTAAATTGATATTTACTGCCAGCTGTAAGGTATTTTATGTCTTTGTTTATCAATATTTCGAAGAGAATTGACTAATGTAAACATGTATTAGCTCATTGAATAGATACATATTTTCTGCATTCACAAATCGATTGAATAACCACTACTAGCTAATATACGTTGTCTGAAATTACATAAAACTAAATTTTGAACAATATTCTACGTATTAAGTATTATACTGGCCGTCATTTATTATTCAAAATAAGAACAACAACAACCACTGACACACCAACACTGTTGACCGTAACTATTGTCGTATTATATATCAGCTACTGTCACGTACACACATTTATAGCTGCTCTCAACAAGATAGATTGCCATAGATCTTAAGTATATAATGCACAATGATAATATGGTTTAACAAGAGAGAGAGAGAGAGAGATTGTGTGTAATTCACGAAAAATAATCTACCTACTATTTTATTGATCTAAACTTATAACCTTCTATAAAAGAATAAAAAATAAATAAAACATTCTTAAATTTTAGAGAGGCTGGCATACCAGATAAATATCTTTCACAAGTTGAAAGGAAAGTTGCACAGTTCGGTAATTTTCCATCAATGGATTAAATGAAATATATAAACAAACGAAAACCATTAACTATTGAACTTTGATTTTTATTATTTGAATAAAAAAGAAGATCGAAAAATAGGATAATTATTATGAAAATTGACGAACTAAAACAAACAAAGGAAAATTTTATGTCAAAATTTGATATAATTCTCATTTATTGATTTAAATTTTATTCAGAAAACAAATTACATCAGAAACATATTCAATTGGTATTTCAAGATTAATTCATTCATGTTTTGTTTTCCTGCTGAATGTTACGTCTAATCATCTTTTGATTTCTATGTGATTACTTCATCAGTTATACATACGTATATATATATATATATATATATACCTAGGAATGCATGAATATTAAAGTTCTTTACTGTACTAGATATTTTATGATTTTGAGCTTGAGGAAGCTAGTTCATAACGTCTATGGCACAAACAGGTATAATCTAAATGTTAAATGTTTACTGAAAAGCTTGAAGGTGCTGGTGTCAATCCCTGATGAGGTGATGAACGTGCACTGCAGCGAAGTTCTGCGCTTTTTAGTCTTCAATGATTGTCCAACAAAGGTCAGTTCATGAATAATCTCCACATCTCCTTATACTAAAAAAGCGACCCGTCGAGTCGGTTTTTATACGTCTATAACTCATTTGATATGATGCGCTTTGTAAGATACGTTTATCTTTCTTCAGTAAAATCATATGACCAGATGAAATAAAGAGGTCACACTAGTCAATAAGATAGTCAAGCATATTCATTGAATCTGGATATAGTATTGTTTTGTTAATGGATTGTACTGTTTAACAAAAACAATATGAAATAGTCAATTGAAAAAAATTAAGTAAAAGTACATTGATGCATATAGTAATGAAATTCACTAATTTCAAAAATGAAGGCTTCTGTCATGAAACCATTGAAAAGAAGGTAGTATTTGGGGATTGTTTCATTTCATTCACGGACTTAATATTGAGTGACGATAATTCAATGTCAATTCCACAAACAACCAATGAAATGACCAGACTTTTTGACTAATTAATCCATAACTGCTGTCATTAAATACGTTTTATCTCGTCTACCCAAGCTACCGTGATTAGCGTATTTTTTTGTTATGGCACAAAACTAATATAACGAATAAAAATAGATGGTTAATATTATATTACGGCTTATGTGATCAGGACGTAATTACAGAAGAATAGTTGTATCATCTATCCACTTCGACTATCGATTAGCTCGTCTATATCTACAACATGACCGGTTCCCTTTACTTAGTGTGCTAACATTGAACAATCAACAGCAACTGAGATCTTAACAATTACTGGCCCTCAAGCTCCTTCCAACTAATCATCCAATCATAGACAAGTACAGGAAGCAGATTAGTTCTTGCTTTTACTCTATTCATTCATGACTCAGAACTTATAGTATCCCTGATATATTCGATCAAACAGCAACACAATATGCACATGACTCAGTCATAAGTGACGTTAAACTGAAGTAATGGGGAATCAACTAAATGATTATGAATCTGAAACAATAAGACATATCAAAACGGTTTATGAGACAAGCGAAAGATCGAAAACAGTAGAATATACAAATACAGCATCGATTACAAAGTATAGAATAAATAGTAATTCTTCATATTATAGTACCAAAGTTATACTTTCGCTTGCCTCATTACATTAAAAACGTTTCTACAGATGTACAGTCCTATCGGAATAAACGTTCTACTGAATGTATTGCTATCACTGCCATCTTTTCAAGCTCAAGATATATATGTATATAGCATTAGTAAAGACAGAATTTAATTTCCCTGTATAATTGAAGATAAGGGATTTTTGATTATGGAAAACAATATCATAAAAATGTTGTCATTATTGAAAATAGTTAAGAAGCATTATTTCTCTGTAGTTAGTTAGAAAGATGACAAAACTTTGAAAGGATTATCTAATTAGGTCTTTTCCATTGTTTATAACAATAACAAAGTAATTATTCAACACTAACAAATGCTGAAATATGTCATAGAAATTACATGAAAATATGTAGATGTTTTAAAAGAAGGCATTGATCAAACGTATTAGGACTTCTTCATGAAAATATGGAACTTTCTGAAAAACATTTTTAAAGATCGAAATTAGTTTATAGAATAAGAATTATTTTGATATGCTCTAATTGGGGTATGTAATATGCATCTTTATTAATTCTTATGTAATTCTAGTGATCTTACAGGACCTTAAGCTGTATTTAGGATTAAAATTATTCATTTTGATTAGCAGTAAGAAACTAAGCTTGTTAAAGTATTCATTTATTGATGTGTAAATTAGAAACTGTGTGTTTGTTTTATCATGTTAATATAAAAGGTGATTTTAAAAAATGCTTAAAAACCACAATGAACCAACCAACAAAATGTACTTTATTGATAACCAAAATGGCTGGGATATAAAATAATAAAATGGCGGTAGACGACTTTTCACTATCTATTTATTTATCAGTAATTCCTCATAAAGCCGGTAACTGTCATCCATGCTTTTTATTCAAACTGTTTTCATCCACATATATATATGGGGCTTCGGATATGAACCTGACTTGTGGTACTCTACGTCCCCTATTGGATAACTGACTCGAATGCTGAACCGATCACCGTCAAGTAATTTGTAATTCAACCAGAAAAGTAACGAAATTGACAGTGTACTTTCAAATAAATAATTGGTCACAACCTAATGTTATCCATTGTCATGGTTGTTAGATTTTTTAAGATCAAACATTTTTATGTCTAATTCACATAATTTAACCGCACTTGAAAACAATACCTTGTTTATATATAACGTTGCTATTTAAGTTACACTACAATGATATTATCGTATATGCAGCTTATCATTTGATTATGATTTGTATTTGATTGACTGAATTATTAAGAAAATACTATATCAAGAGCCTAAATAAATTTGAACCAATCAAAGTGTTAAGGCGAATAACAGGCTGCTAAGATACTTAAAACTCGCTGAAAACTGTATGATGTGGATTGCGATCAATCACTTTTGAAAAACCCATAAAAAATACATGTCCTTTCATTAAGTGAGTTAAAGGTTAACTTGGTGACACGTGATTGGCTTAAGACAATGACTGCTCACCAGCAAATCACAACTTAGTTGAGTCAGTTATACAACAGATTGATTATTAGAAACCTTTGAATTCCACACCTGCAAGTGGATTACACGAATAACATTATTTATTTTGAGAAAAGATGATCATTTACATGTAGATAACAGTTATGTATAGTAAATGATGAATATTTCTACAGCAGAACAGAGTTTACTATAGGAACACTTGATTGTTATTTGAGTTCTATGTATTTGTTGTAAAGTGGATGAAAGTACTATAGAGTTTCACTACATTTATTAAAAGTAGGAAATTGCATAAGTGACTTTAATTTATCCTGATCTCAAGTACTACTCTATTGATAGTATCTTGTTATTGATATGCACTGTACGATTCAACATAACGAAACATTTCTCTCTACGAGGTTGGATGAAGAAAATTGGTAAGATTTTCTAATCAGTCAACAAACAGTGATTCCTATTTATAAGGTGACAAACCAATAATAATGAAGATAGATATTACAGGCAGATAATGTTTATTAAAAAAAAACTCCACAAATATTTTAATTATATACACAAAAAGAGGATAGTATGCTGGTCTGCGTCAACACTTGAACTAAGGATAGGGGGTGAAGTAGTCGAACGCGCCGACAACTTCACTTATCTCGGAAGTCTGATCAGCCCTAATGGGTTGGTGTCTGACGAAATCTCAGCACGGATTCGAAAAGCTCGTTTGGCCTTTGCCAACTTACGTCATCTATGGCGTAGGCGAGATATCCGTCTATCGATTAAGGGACGAGTATACTGCGCGGCAGTTCGTTCCGTTCTACTATACGGCGGCGAAACTTGGCCTTTAAGAGTGGAAGATATTCGTAAGTTACTAGTATTTGACCACAGGTGCCTTAGAAATATTGCAGGTATCTGCTGGGATCACCGGGTAAGTAATAGTGAGGTTAGACGCAGGGTATTAGGAAATGATGGTAAATCAGTTGATGAGGTTATGAACCTTCATCGACTGAGATGGTTGGGCCACGTGCTGCGTATGCCTGAACACCGATTACCGCGACGCGCAATGGTAACCGGTGTTAGGGATGATTGGAAGAAAGTTAGGGGCGGCCAAACCAAAACGTGGCATCAGTGCTTGAAGTCACTAACTTCTGGTCTGAGCCATGTTGGTAGATGCAGACTACCTGGTTGGGGTCCGCTTGACTATCGTAACCAATGGTTGAAGACTCTTGGTGACATGGCTCAGAATCGATCACAATGGCGTCGGTGTATTCACTCTCTGTCCTCCTTTAAATTAAGAGATTAAAATCACTTCAAATCTTTCTTTCTACGAACTAATTCTATCTTCCTGTACTATCTCCTTATACACACTCTTTCTTCTAGATATTACCACCACTGAATTAACTACTTCTATGAATCCGGTGTTCATCTTGCTGTGCTAATGCGGTATGGCAACTTGGACAGATGCATATACGTGCCTGGTCCTACGTTGCAGCTGACTGACTGATGCTGAAATATTGCAAAAATGTGCAGAGTATACCTCATCGGGATCAAACTTATGGTACTCTCAGTACCTTTTGAAAAAAAGTTTAGCTAGCAGTCGTCAATGTCTTATATTCCTTGAAGTCATCTACAGTTACCCGATGAGTCTGGTGGTGATTAGTCAACATATTCAGATAAAATGAATGACGCATGCGAGCATCTAAATATCGATTCGATGGATCGTGTTCAATACAACTACAATGTGTTTGTATGTAGTATCCAGTCATAATTATGAGTTTGTATAAAAAGTTTAATAGGTAAAGAGCAAGAATTATTGTTATTTCTTCAGGGTTTGACAGCTAAACCTAAACGTCTTATCAGCCTGAAGTTTGTTGATAAATTAGTAGACAATAATCAAATTATGGATTGTCTGAATGTTCTTTTAGTTTAACTGATTGAACAAGTTGACATAGTGCATAGATCTAAGGAGAATTAATTAAGCATCTTATATTTTTGGTGGTTACTGACCACCTAAAAATAACTTTTAAAATAAACGAAGAAAATGTATGAAATATCAACTAACAAAAGCCAATTTATTAAGAAAACTGATATCTCTTGTTTATTTATAAAAAGATCTAGGTCAATATCCTGTCAATTTATTGATACTGTTAAAATATTTTCTAAAAATGTTAAAAACCTGAATAAACATGACCCAGGACTTGTTTTCAAAAGAAGAAAGGGTGTAACGAAGAAGGGAAACTGAG